ATGGCAGAGGAGGAGCCGGCGCCCCTGTCGCCCTCGTCTCAGGAAGGTAAGCACCGAAGGGATGAAAGAGGGCTTGGCGTCCTCCTTCCCCCCATTTGCCTTCATTTATTCATTTATATTTCAAATTTGTCACCGGCCATCTAACTCTGGGTGGTTTTCAGTAAAAACAGAATAAACATCAGTTAAACTAGATAAATATTAATTTAATTAATTAATTAAAAGATGCTAAAAAAACAAAACTTCCTTTATGATACTTCCAAGAGGCAGATGTTAATTAGGCGTTAATAGACTCAGGGCGCATCGTCAAGGCGCCAGCCATCCCCAGGATCGATTGTGTCTTTCCTCGCCCCAGGCAAGTTGGCAGAGCCAAGTCTTCAATTCCCTCCGAAAAATTGGGGGGGCAGGGCCCCCCTTACCTCTGGGGGGAGAATATTCCACAGGGCGGGGGCAACAGCAGAGAAGGGTCTCCTCCTGGGCCCCACCAGCCGACATTTCTCGCTGACGGGATCTGCAACGTGCCTTCTCGGCTGGACCGGGTGGGACGGTCCCTCAGGTAACCTGGGGGGGCCTAGCGTGGAGGGGCCCTCTCTAAAGGGTGGGTTAGCGGCTCCCAGGCCCACAGAGCGCGATTTCCCTGCTCTGGAGTAATGTTACCAGAAACAGGGACGGGTGTGTTTAAACGTGCCTAATACAGCAATGCAGGAAACGAATGAATGAATGCATGTTACATCCTGACTCTCCACTTCGAAAGGGAGAGGCTTCGTCAACCAGAAAAGTCATCCAGGTAATGATTCCTTTATGGTGACTACAGTTCGGTTTATGTCAGGGAGAGAGAACAGCCCGGAGTGAGAAAGGCTCTGGGGGCTCCAGTCCTGTTTGGATGACCTGTAACTTAAAATGATTACAAGCAGAAAAAGAAGATATTTCGAAAGAAGCGAAGGTATCAATAAGCGATGTGTTCCCCTGCACATCGGCCCTTAGGAAAGTCTCATTGCATGCTGCTTTAGAGCAGCGTTTTTCAACCTTGGCAACTTGAAGACTTGAACTGTGTGGAATTCTGGGAGTTGAAGTCCACACATCTTAAAATTGCCAAGGTTGAAAATCACTGCTTTAGAGGTAAGCATATGTTAGATTGTAGCCTCTATTATAGAGAATTAAAGTTGTCTGGAGCCCATAAAATGGTTGTACTATTCTTGAATGGCTGTGCTGTCCTGGGGATTGTACAGTGGTACCTCGGGATACGAACTTAATCCATTCCGTGACTCTGGGCGTAACCCGAGTTGGTCGTAACCCGAAGGAAATTTCCCCATAGGGTTCAGTGTAAATCCGGTTAAT